TGACCGTAATTTTGCTTTAGAGAATAAGCGAAACTGCAGTCAAACCCAAAGTGCAATCTCGCACCATGGGACAGATCATATGAGACTAAACAAGTCAGGAGGTTATCTACTTTCCAGTTCCCCAGAGTTTAGGCAGACGTTTCCTTGTCTTCTGCTGTCAGCTGAAGCTGTCAGGAATTTTGCCAGAAAAAGACAGCAGGAAAAGAATATTCCTCACCAAGAAGCAATGACGCTAGCTGGGATTGAAACAATCATTTGATTACTGTAGCCCAGTGTTTCAGAGGTACTTAAAATCAAATTTATTTGTCAGCCTATGTTGACAATTAATAGAATATTAAAATCCCATTAAATAACCACAAGAAGCAGTAGTGGCAGAAAACACATCCATTTTAATTTTAATATTGTAAATGTTATCCGTAGAAGCAAAAACTCTTTTGGGGGCCTCCATAATTTTTAAAGATGGGAAGGCATCCTGAGAGGAAAATATGTTTAAGAGCCACTGCTGTAGGGAAACAAATAGCTGATTAAGAAAAGAAATATAGTTGCCCCCCCCCCCCTAGAGCATGGTTCAGTTTCTTCCTATATTTAATTTAAAAAATAAACTTCATTCTCTATCTCAGCGGTCCCCAGCCTTTCTGGCTTGGCTGTTAATTTAAGGAGTAGGATACTACCTGTGGTCTTTAAAAAAAAGCCAAGAAAACAAAACAATGGATCATCAAACAAATCAATGCAAAGTTCTTATGTGGCTTAGCTGCCCTAATTTGATTCAGTTTGGAGACCTGAGGTTCAAAAGACATGATTCAATTCCGGTTTCTGTTTTAAAATTCAAACCTAACCATTCAAGCAACTAAGATCCAATCCATAAGGTCTAATGAAGAAACACCAAATGCCTGGTTTATTTTTTTGATAGCATGAGATAAAAATAATAGGGATAAAAAGGCTCTTTACAGCCTGTTATTTCTATTGAGGATACCTTCAATTGTTTCATTGCAAGAAAGTTCAGAGGTAGCAGGAAAGTTAAAAAGACAGTATAACATTCTTCAAATTATCCAGCAAGGAGCCTCCTGTGCTATTTGAATTTCAATTGTTTAACTCTGCAACCCAAACTTCTATTTTTATAGTCACGTCGGTTGTTGGAAAACACCTATTATCCAGAATTTAATTTTGGATGAAAGCATCGGCCTGGGTGCACAACAGAGATTTAGTTGATGGGGGGAAAGGGCGGGGAGTTAAGCTCTTTCAACTCTGCTAGCTGGATTACTCCAAGATGCAGCAGGCTTGGGTGGAAGGTCAAGTTAAGAGATTGCTGCATTCAGTAGGAATTCCACCAGCGGAAGGTTCTTTCAACAGTCTGCAATTATGTTTGCTGGTTGTAAGCCTCTCTCCCTCAGCTAACTGGGATAAGAGCCACAGAGGCAATGAATGACCATGGGCGTTTTGTCTTGAAGCACCCCAAAAACTAGAAGGTTCCACTCAACCCAAGTGCCTCAGGGTCTCCAGCTTGATGTATTGGTCATAGACCTGTCCTTAATTTGTATCTTGCAACAGGCCTCTTTAAGTCTTCTCAGAGACAGATCACCCTTTGGTGGGTTTTACACTAATAACTGCTGTAAACCTCTGGTAGGAGGGGAAACAAGCTAAAATGATTCAATCCAGGCACTTGATACAACTGGTTTCCTGTAGGCACTGGGGAGAATATTTTACCTCATTTGTCACTGGTGTTGTTGAAATCTTGGGTGATCAGTGAAACTTTGAAAGTCCCACATAGGCAAATTTCGCTGCAGCACAGCTCACTTGGCTCAACTAGTGGGCCAAGTCCATTTCTTCCTTAAAAAGAAAAAAGAGAGGCAGAGGACTGCCTCTGAATATTAATGATGACTGCTATATATTAAATCCCATGTGTAGTAGAAACATAATTTCAGACAACCTTGGTGTCCTGATCCTCTTGTTACTTCTTTTTGTCATCGCTTTCACTTCTCCTTTGTGTAAATAAAATAATCAGGAGAAGCTGTATTCTGAACAAAAATGACAAAAAATATAGGTGACAGACACAGGGAAAAAGGAACTGAGAACATGCAAAAATCACATTGGCCACCCATGTGATAACAGAACTAGTTAGTCACAAACTCTGTGTTTCTTAGATTTCTATCCCCTTTCCACTCATGGCAGCTAGTAATTTTAATACAGAACACAAGGTATAATAATTAAATCAAATATATTAAAATTAGTAGATACACATTTGCCAATAACTGAGCGGCGTTTATAATCTCTAAATCTATAGAAATTCAGACCAAATGCATTCTGTAGCCTGTCACTGAAAGTATAAGACATATTGTCCCTAAAGTGCCTTTTATCAAAAAGGCAACTGGACTTTTTATTTTTGGACGTTTCATTTTTCAACCAAGAAACTTCTTCAGTTCAGAACTGAAGAGGATTCTTGGATGAAGATGAAATGTTTTCAAAGAAACCCCCCCCTCCCCCCCCCGAAATCCAGGTTCCCTTTTGGAAAAAAGCACCTTTGGGAAAACTGTGACCTGAATGATTGCAAATCTCCCTAGAAATATAGGATATATTCTATGCTGTTTTATACTGATACCTGCCCATACTTCAGAGATTATTTGTGGATAAGAATATTTTGCTAAAAGATTAGATGTTCTCTCTTTCCATGCCCCAGGACTGCAAGTTGTCTATTAATAATGTTTCAACTGCATTCTTCTCTTCATGGTAACAAAATTCATATACAGGATGAATGTAAATTATAAGGCTGGAATCCATCATCCTAGCTGCCTTTTATCCACTGCCTCCCTGATCAAACTGCACATTTCAGTGTCTCCACCAGAAATCCACTTAAACCACTACATAATACAATTAAGCATCTTTATGCCAAATTTAATACTTTTAATGGGAAACAGTTTTAAAGATTTAAAATAAAATAGTGAATATGCCTGGTGCAGAAGCCTGGCACCTCTGTTCGGTCAGCTCTTTTTATTACCTTCTTTAGCAGAAATAACAGCTTCCAGAAATTTTCTATAGCCGCATGAGCTAATTTAGTTTACTTGGGAAAAATTGGAAATGGCTCTTCTGAGATTCCGGAGAATGATGAACCTGCCCGTCCTTTCCCAGAGACAGAGAACATAGGATTGTTTTCAGAGACAATTATTGTGAAGAAAGTAGGATACCTGCTTAATCTCCAAAAATGTCAGGATTGGAATGAACTTTTGCTTGTTCTAGTATTAGCTCAAGCTCTAGAAATAGATTAGTAGTGCAGCAAATGTTGTGATGAGGACTTATCCCTTATTTTACCTTCCAATAAGGGGCTCATCTAATTGCAAATCATGGTTTATGGCTTGAATCATGGCTTCTTGGCTTTAATTTCTGAGGGTTTTTTATTTTTTATTTTCTGAAAGTTGTGCCAACAAAACTATTTGAGCTCTGGAAGATCGTATCATGCAATGCTGCAGAGACTCAGAGCCCAAATGGTTGAATATCAGAAACCACAATGAGGGACTGGCAGGCAGGCAGTGAAGTAGAAAAGGTGAGTCACAGTGTTCCCTTCCCCCTCAAAAACCTTTTACATTTTATTTCATGGAGACTGGCTACATATTTTCTTCCTGGTTAACAGGTCTTTACCTGAGAATTGGTACAGAATGCTAGGGAAAGGTATGCAGAGGTATAGTGGGTCCAAGTAGCATGTCAAAAAGCAAACAACACAAGCTAAAGTTGACTGTTTCAAAGGGGGAAACAATTAACCTTGCTTGAAACTGAAACATTTAAATGAATCTCATACTGAGTAAACAGAGAAATCATTTCAGATTATACTAAAATTGGGAATTCTTTATATGAAACCTCATGGCACGCTTTCCTAACAAAGAAGCAGACGTTAGAATATGAGAAAGCAAACCAAGCACATAAAAACAAAGGCCATATGTTGCCAGACATTCTGCCAAGAAATGTTATTTTTATTGTTGAATGTGCTGACAGTCAATATTGCATTATTGATCCATGCATATTTTATACATGGATTTTATGTGTCATGATACAGCATTTTATGTGCATGAATGTGTGTGTGTACTGGCAACTGCATCTACTTCAGTTAGCATTCATCCCATCTTAGCGGTACCTAAATTCATTGGTTGAGATTTTTTTGAGTTTCTCATTTAATTTCTACAAATTTATATCTCAGCTTCCTTTAAAAAAAAAAGGGGGGGGATATATTTTACATTTTGCTAATAATTTTCTCCAATACAGCTTTTGCAATACCACAACAATCATACATTTGCTATATGTTTGTATATTTCATTGGAAAATTGGGACTTCACTACTTAAACCTATCTTTTCTTTTTCGTATTCCAGTTGGGGAACTGCAAAACAGATTATAGATAAGCACTTTTCCACCACACCCAGTTCAGCAGCTACCAGGTTGGGCAAAGTTTAGATATGCTTTGATAGAGAAAAGTCCCTCCTTTTCTCAGTATGCATGGGGAGGCTGGGAATGGTTGTTACCTTTCCCATTTCAGTGGAGAATGAAAGAGAAGTGAAAGTGAGTTCCTCCTTAAATTCCAATCTTTTGCTATTGCTTTAATGTTTTACACACAAACACACACAGACTTAAATCAGTGGGGCAGAATTTAGTTTCCTATTTTGGAACATTCATCTCTACCTAAAATAATGTTGAACTAGAAATCCCAACTGCTTCAAGACATTTACAATGTTTAATTCTTAAATTTTATTGTTTTGTGAACACATTGAAAGAACGCAAAACTCCCATTAAGTCCTCCAAAGCAGGGTTCTTCTTTCCGCGCCTCTACTTCTCAGCAATTCGGATACTGTGAAGCAAATCCCCCACCCACCCACCCACCCCAAATGTCCAGAAAGGAAGTACAGATTCATCCTTAAACCTGACTCTCCTGTGCTCTCATTCCGGACACAATACATGCACAGAAAGGCAGTATCATGCAGATATCCAATGACCAACAAGGTATAGGCAGGATGAGGTAGAGGCTGGAGCAAGGCGCTCAGCCTCGGAAGTGAAATGGCCATGCTGGAATCCATATATGGAGATATATAGATATATAGATATAGGCATTTTTTTCTGAACCATCCACCCTACCTTAAACTGGACAGGGTTGTGGGAAGACTTGAGAAATTATGGGGGCCACTGCCTCACCTATGAACAGGCTGGGAGAATGGATATAACCCAGTCTTAACAGGCCTCACATTCTGGAAAAAAAAAAAAAGGAATTCACGAACAACATAGCACGGTTTAAATAAGGGGAGAATATGAATGGATTCCCATTGTGCCCTTCCCCTCCACCCATCCCTAGGGGGCATGAGTTCAGGAACACTGGCTGCACTGTAGGTCAGTGAAGACCACAAACAGAAGCCAAGAACCGGGACCAATGGGAATGGAAAACTCTTTGGGATTGTACAGAAGCTCTCTCCTCCTCGTCCTAGCGGCACTGTCTGCCAGCTTCTGGCCTCGACAAGGCAGAGCCTCTCTCTCTCTCTCTCCCTCCCTCCCTCTCTCTCTATCTGCATGGTGTTTTTAGCTTCTTTCTCTCCCATCTGTGGCCTCTACAGGCCCAATCAGAGCATCAGCTGCTGCAAGTAAGAAAATGCAGAGAGTTTTCCTCTTGGGTTTACTCCTCACTCTCCAGCTTCAGGCTGACACTCCGGATTTTGGCTCGGGGCTGGGCACTTCCAGTTCCCTCTCGTTCCACCTGGCTTTGTCCCCGGGAGCGCAACAGCTGGCTCTGCTTGCGCAGGAAGTCGACAGGAGCGGGGCAGCCATAACTGCCTTTGCCCAAGGTGGGCCTTGTGGTTCCCTTTGGTGAGTGAGCGAGGGATGCCGCTTCCAGCTGGGCTAGATGGGCAACATAGCCATCTGAAAGGAACTGCAAGGGAAAAAGATTAAGGCAGTTAATGCCTGCTTTTACCCGGCCCACCCATTTCTGAATGAGCCACAGCCTCTGCGCGGGGGCGGGTGGGGAAGAGCTTATCAAAATGTGGCACTTGCACATTTCAGTCCCTCTGTTAGTTGGGAAGGGCAGTAGCTGAGCCAACTCCATACCTGGCATTGGCTTTGCAGTTTCTTCACAGCCCGACCCACAATGTAGATCTGGGATGAAGGGAGCCCTAAAGAGCTATAAACTGAGATGTCCTTGGTGGAACCATATGCAGCTACAATAGTGACCTCTGCCTACAAGAAATAAACAAAGACATTTTAGAATTAATGTTAGGCCCTTCCTATTCAAATATACAAGTGCAATAATAATTAAAATACATAAAGTACCACATCCATAAATTAAAATGAATATTAACAGTAATTAGCCACTCAAGACCTGGTGAAATTAATGCACTGTTACACAGACGTTACACGTTACACTTAACATGCTTCAGATCTATTATGAACCAACCCACCTCCAGAGTTACACAGCCTGACTTGTGTATGTGAGAAAAGTCTCCCTCCCATATGCCATCCAGATAAGCAAGGCCATGAGGCCTGTCCCGCAGAATGTTATAGCAAAACCAAGGAAAGCTATTCCTCTGAGAGTTGGGCTTTACTATGCCACTTCAGCACCATTGTTCCCTAACTTCCCTTTCTCCTGCTTCCACTTCTCCAGCTTCTTCCACAAGACCCCTCAGTTACACCAGAGTAGAATCTCCATTGTATGCCTCTCCTGGTTGTGCAAGAACACAAGCGGCTACGTACCTCTTGCTGAAGGCCCTGTAGAAAGGCAGCTTTCTGGCGAAGAGGGTCATGCGTGAGGCCATCACAGAAAGAGACAATGCCATGTGGGAAATTATGCTGGGTAAGCCAAGCCACCACTCTGTGCTTCTGCATGTCTGGACGCCCTGTCACGTAGATGATCATGAAACCAGAATCTTGCCAATGCCTACAAAAGCAGAGGAAAAATAAATTATCTCTGGAAAACAAACTAAAAACCTATTGTTCTCCAAATATTTCAGGTTACTTCTCCTTAGCACCGTCAACCCTAGTCACTCCCATAACCCTAGCAAAAGGTTTATAACATCTAAATTGCCTGCCCCTATCCAGAGTATGAAGATAGAACTAATTATGACAAAGCTTAAGAAAAGGACATGCTGTGTTTATAGCATTTTTTGCATCTTAGTTCCTTAAAGAACGCACTGTTGAGTCACCAGACCAAGGGCCCATCAATGCATGTTCAAAGAATACTGGTGAGACTGATGATAAATATGCGTTGCCTCTGGAAAAGTCACAACAGGTCAGGGAGGGAATAGTTATCACTAGAACCTTCCTTCAGGCTCCACTGACACTGAACAACAGAAGTTTCTGTGAGGTGAAGAGTTACTGAGTGGCCCATCTTCCTCCCACTGTGAGTCTGCACAAATCCCTTCAAAGGCCACTAGCCATATCTTATAGCAAGCAAGGGCAACTACAGGTACACTTCTCAACTTACAACCACAACTGAGCCCCAAATTTCTGTTGCTACCATAAACAAGACAGTTGTTAAAGTGAGTTTTGGTCCATTTTATGATTTTTCTTGACACTGTTGTTAAATGAATCATTGCAATTGTTAAGTGAATCTGGCTTCCCCATTGACTGTGCTTGTCAGAAGGTGACTCTGAACCATCATAAATATGACTCACTTGCCAAATGTCCAAATTTTGATCATGTGATCTTGAGGATGCTACAACGCAGTGGTAATTCAAAAAACTACCAGTTCTCTGGGCATGGCTTGGTGGGCGTGGCAGGGGAAGGTTATTGCAAAATCCCTATTCCTATTCCCTCCCGATCAGCTGGGACTTGGGAGGCAGAGAATAGATGCGGGTTAACTGCAATGATATTGAAAACAATAACAAGAATCTGCATTCTGTAACAAATGCTTATATTGTTGGTATGAATCCAGTCTGATTAATAGAAAACACTATCTATATTCAACTACCAGACTGTTTATTAAAGCTGAGAAAGTGAGCAGACATGCTTATCTCTTCCCTTTTCATAAAAAGAACAGGGATGATTAGAATGCTACTTTAAAGTGGAAAAAAACATCCAGTTGCTTTTACAAAAGCTTCTTCCAAGAAATCCATTTTGACAGCATGTTGGCAAGGACAAATATGGAAGCTGGCAAGTGTGAAGGAAAACAGCAGAACTATTTCCAATTGGTGCTTTAAATAGCTTTTCTGTTACTGTGTTAACTTATTAAAAATATTTTCACTTAATAGAAAAAATTAATTAGGCTAAATATTGGGAGAAAAAGATTTACAGAATGTGGAAACATACTAGAGAGTATCTCAGTTGAGGAATGTAACGTATATAAGAATTTCTCTATAGTCCTGGGACAGATTTTGGAGGCCTTAAGAAAGAGAAACAGTCCTGGGTTATCTCCATTGTGTTGGAAATGTGGAAGAAAGGATGGCACATTCTACCATATTTGGTGGTCCTGTACTATAGAGAAATTCTTATATACGTTACATTCCTCAACTGAGATACTCTCTAGTATGTTTCCACATTCTGTAAATCTTTTTCTCCCAATATTTAGCCTAATTAATTTTTTCTATTAAG